TATCAACAAGGGTGCCTGAACGAAGCATATTTGTATACCTAACCAATAACTGTACCCCACAATATCATAATAAAAAAAAAATTTATAAATAAATAAATAAATAAAAGGTTCCAAATCAAGAGAAAAAAAAAGTTACCTGTAAACAAATGAAAATGAAGAAACATCTTGCCAAAACCTCCGGGATGTCCTGAAAGCAGTAGTAAGAAGGGAATTTATATTGCTACAAACACACATGAAGAAAATGGAAAGATCACAAGTCAACAGCCTAACAAGTCACCTAAGGAAGTTGGAAAAGCAAGACACCACAACCCTAACTTCAGCAGGAAGAATCCAGATCACCAAAATAAATGCCTAAATTCATGACATAAAGGACAAATATATATATATATATATATATATGTAAATCAATGGAACAAAAAGCTGGTTCTTTGAAAGGATAAATAAGACTGATGGTCCCCTAGCTAGACTGACCAAGAAAAAGAGAGAAAAGGCCCAAATAAACACAATCAGAAACACAAAAGATGAAGTCACAACTGACCATGCAGAAATACAAAAGATTATCAGAGACTACTATGTACACTTGTATGGAAACAAACTTGAAAACCTAAACAAAATGAATACTTTCTGACATCACATAACCTCCCCAGGTTGAAACAAGAAGAATCGAGACCCTAAATAGACCAATAATGATCCAGGAAATTGACTACATGATACAAAAACTACCTACAAAAAAGGTGGCTTTCCAGCAGAATTCTACAAAACATACAAGGAGGAACTGATACCAATCTTATGAAAGTATTTCAGGTGATTGGGAAAGATGGAGCCTTCCCCAAATCATTTTATGAAGCTAACATCACATTGATACCCAAGCCAGGTAAAGATCCAACAAAGAAAGAGAACTACAGGCCAATATCCTTGATGAACATAGATGCTAAAATTCTCAACAAGATCTTAGCTAACCGGATTCAACACCACATCCCAAAAATCATCCACCACAACAAAGTAGGCTTCATCCTCAGGATGTAAGGCTGGTTCAACATTTGTAAGACCAGAAACATAATTAAATACACGAACAGGCATAAAAACAAAAACCACATGATTATATCATTAGATCCTGAAAAAGCTTTTGATATAATCCAGTCCCCCTCCTTGATAAAAACCCTCGAACATCTAGGCATAGATGAAACATACCTCAAAATAGTAAGAGCCATCTACAAGAAACCCACAGCCAGCATACTGCTAAACAGACAGAAATTGGAGCCATTTCCCCTGAAAACTGGAACCAGACATGGATGCCAGCTCTCACCCTTCCTGTTCAACATTGTTTTGGAAGTCCTAGCTAGAGCAATCAGAGAAGAGAAGGTGATGGGAGTATTCAAATACAAAAGAAGACATCAAGTTATCCCTCTTTGCAGATGACATGATTCTATACCTCAAAAGTCCAAGAGAATCTGTCAAAAACCTCCTTGCACTGATAAAGGACTTTGGCAAAGTCTCAGGGTATAAAATAAATGTGCAAAAGACCATCACATTTCTATACACCAATAATAAACAAACAGAAACCCAAATAAAAATGCAATCCCATTCACAATAGCCACCAGAAAAAAAAAATGAAATACCTTGGCACTTTCCTAACCAGAGACGTGAAAGACTTTTACAATGAAAACAACAAAACACTGATCAAAGAAATCAAAGATGACCCAAACAAGTGGAAAAATATTCCATGCTCGTGGATTGGAAGAGTCAACATTGTTAAGATGTCCATTCTACCCAAGGCAATCTACAGATTTAACGTAATACCCATCAACTTACCAGCAGCATTCTTCTCAGACCTAGAAACAACAATACAGGAATTCTTATGGAAACATAAATGACCACAAATAGCCAAAACAATCCTCAGCAAAAAAAAAAGCGGGAGGTATCACACTCCCAGACTTTAAACTTTTCTATAAAGCTATAGTAATCAAAAAAGCCTGGTATTGGTACACGAACAGGCATATAGACAAATGGAATAGAATTGAGATTCCAGAGCAAAACCTCAATTTCTCAACCAACTCATGGTCGACAAAGCCCCCCCCGCAACCACTGGGGAGAGGAGAACCTGTTCAGTAAATGGTGCTGGGAAAACTGGCTGATCACATGCAGAAGATTCAAATAGAACCCCTATTTATCCCCACACACAAAAATTAACTCTAAATGGATCAGAGACCTAACATAAAACTTCAAACTATAAGAACCTTAGAAAATGCAGGAGACACCCTTATGGAAATTGGAACTGGCAACCATGCCATCCCAAGTCCCCATGCCATAAGAGATAAGATAGACAAGTGGGACCTCATCAAACTGACAAGCTTCAGCAAAGCCAATGAAATCATCAAGGGAACAGGGAAGCCGGGCTCAGTGGCTCAGCCTGTAATCCCACGCCTTTGGGAGGCTGAGGTGAGTGGATTGGCTGAGCCCGCGGGTTCGAGACCCACCTGGG